TTCAACAAAGGCCCGCACTGTTCGTCTAACGTCAATATGTACAAACTTGTCTGATGTGTTTATTTAATTTGCACATTTCTATCAGTCAAGCTATAGCCGTGTACGCAATACTAGAACTTTAAGTTAATTTTTCCTGCTTTTTTAAAGTAACGTGTTAACAATGTTACTCTCTAAAATATCCGCACTCAAGTAATTAAATGTCATTTTTATGTTTCAATACACCTTGCTTTGTAATCCTTCTCTAATCTCAGCCTTTTTTTGATGAGAACCCAAGCTATATACATGGCACTTTCTTGGCAACCTATATTCTCAAATTATACAATTAGTTCAGTCGTTTCTTCTTCAGTTATAATTTATCATGAATTAAAGTTATTTTCTGTCTCATTAGAGGTTTTGTATTTTAGATGAAAGTAACAAGGTGAAATATTAGTGTAGAACTCAAGACATTTCCCTCTGCATTGGTAGTTAAACTTTCAATTAATTTAAGGGTCATTGCAGTGGCCCCCAAACCCCGGTTATTTAAATGGACATTGTAATTTTATATACTGCACAGGTAACTCTTTTGGTGTTGTTTTGTACATAATAGCATTTGCATCCATAAATACCACCCCAATAAAATAGGTTGTGGACCTAATTTTACATCCAGACCACCTGGTTAAGAACATACGAGACTAGAACATAATAGAGGAAAGTGTTGAAGACCCGAGCAGCTGAACCTCTCATTATTTAAGAAATTATTTTGGAAACAGGATAAATTCACGGGCGTGGGATGTTTATAATTATTAAATTAATTCTGTTAACACCCACGCTATCTCAATGAAGTGGTCTGGGTGTCAAGCCCCTCTACTTTTAACCCAACAACTGAAAACATTGCTGTTCTGCAGGAAAGGCAATGTTTTTATTGCTGGGATTAAATGCCTCCAGAGAGGCGCTTCTGCAGAAACATCCAAAAAAAGCCCGTCTCTTTCGATCGGATTGTTTCATAGAGCCGCACATGCGCACTAGACTCTGCTGATCTCAGACTGGTACACGGGGCTAGCCACGGACAGAGTAGCACGGTGTGGGATGAAAGGTGAGTAAAATACTTTCTAACTCTTGTTGGTGAGGACGGCCATCTAAACGATGACTAGAACACTACAGTGTAAGGTATTCCTAATGCTTAATTGTGTACATTTTCCTTTTTAGATACATTTTGTGCAATGCGTTCCTTGCAAGTTTTAATGTGTAGCGGGAAGATTATTTTTATTGAGAGATTATTATTATTATCAGGGTTTATATAGTGCCACATATTCCACAGCCCCTTAGAATTATGAAATGGGGATATTTCACAACAAGTAATTCATATACAGTTTCCTCCCAATTGAGCTTTCAATCTATGGGGAAGGGATAAAGACATACAAGAGAAATAACAGTATGTCAGAGGGCAGGAGGGATTGATGGATACGATACCTGTGTTGAAAGAAGCTGCTAAAAGTAAAGTTTAGGAGACGTTTAATGTCGAAAGACAGTGAAAGACCTGGAATGCCTCTAGTGGTTGTCTGATAGGCAGCTACTAGAGGCTGTCTTAACCCTGCTATGTAAACATTACCGTTTCTCAGAAATGGTGATATTTACAGCTGCAGGATTAAGGGGACAGGGACACAACACCCAGACCAATTCAATGAGAATAAGTGGTGTGAGTGTCTGTAGTGTCCCTTTAACTGATTGTCTTTCTAAAAGTAACCTCTCTATGAGTAAGTGTGATTCTTCCTAGGAGTTAGGAATCATGATTGCTTATTTATGCAAAAATACAGACGGAACGTTCAGCATAAACCATTTTGAGTAATGCCGCTATGCCCTCTTGCAGCTAATTTACTTGTTTGGTTGGAAAATTACTTTTCCCAAAGTGACTCCTTCTCAACATGCTTGCTCTAGGGTTCCAACCTATAACTCATCCTGTATTCTGAGATTAAGACAAATCTCTACCTTCACAAGAATTTGTTATATTTGCAGTTAGGTGTTTCTTTGCCAAACTCTGACTTTTGGATGAATGACAGTTTGGGGGAAAAAAAAGAATAGAATCAAAAGAGAATAAGATGACAGCTTGAACGTGATGCATACTCACTCAGTAATAGACAAGTATTTGAAACACTTTATCAGCTTAAAATGATTTTACAAATTGCACCTAAAAAGATCATTGCTTATAGTCATCATGAAAGCATGTATTTCAGTGAGCAGAGTTTCAGATTTAGCCTATCATAGTTTAGGGGTTATTTTATTAAAATAGATTGTATCTCTGTATATGAACAAAAGAAAATATATAGGTCGCGCTATATAGTAGTGGATATAAAAGTAAATATAAAATGGGGTAAGACAAATATTTAAATAAAACAGGGAAAAAATGATCCCAATGCTAAAAAAGTCTTTAATAAAACCTGTAATAATACTGGAGTCTGGAAAAAAGTCCAAAAGTCCAAAAGTCCAAAGAGTAGCTGGATCTTCTTGTGTTAACGATGTCTCAGTTCAATGGTGGATATATGGACATGTAAAGAAAACAGAAAGACTCCAATAGTGCAGATGGTAATACAGCAAGTAGGTAGATAAGCAAATCTCATAGCAGGTAGTCCACTCACCTATTTTTGAGCATAAACTTGCTCAAGTGGTAGTAGCATTCAGTGGCGTTGATCCTCCACTGGTGGGATATAGGTGACGAAAATATAAAAGACTCCTCGGTATGTGGAGAGATGAAGAAACAATATAGTGCTCACTGAATGAGTGAAAAGGATAAAATAATAAGAGCAGTAAAATACTCACATGTATATGAGCAGGATATACTGCTCACTATGGTAGCGTAGGTGGTATTATCCCCACCTGGGATTCTTGAGCATATGCGTGTTCCAATATAGAAAGTACCAGGTTTCAAAAAAAATATAAAATAAAAAATGATATTATATAATAAAAAGATATATAAAAACTCAATATAACTTTATTAATAATAACAGAGTGAATAAAATATAAATACAGCCAAAACGCGTTTCGCCTCACAGGGCTTTTTCAATTGGCAATAAGGAAAGAAACAGACTGGTACATGAATGCTTTTATAAATCTAAACATATGCAGATTCAAAATTTGGCGCCAAAATGACATCATCATTAAAACATAAAAATACAGAGAAAAGGACAAATGTTAAAAAGATTATTAATAAAATGACTTATAAGTTATTGTAACCTCATTTTTATAGGTTGCTGCTTCCCTATTTGTCCTTTAGCTTCTAGTGACTTTTTAGCGCTGTCCCATTACCCTGTTGTTTGACTGTATCTCTGTATATGTCTGCCACGTTCTTCCACATCAATTCCAAAACACCAAGGCAGAATGTTCTATGCTATAGCGTTAAGCAATGGCGACTGGTAAAGTTCAGCAATGCTGGGGCTCAACTCTAACCCCAACATTTGACTCTGACCACAACATAATGGGATCTGCCCACTCAACCCCGCATGCTTAACCTGTTACTCAATGAGAAGTATCCTGAATATTTCAAAGCTTACAGTAATATTTGAGTGGGTAATTGTAGCTGGACATAACTTTGAGGTAGCTTGTAGCAAAGACAGAATCTTACCATAGCCGTATGTTAAAGGCACTCTAGAGGCACCCAGGCCACTTCATCTCATTGAAGTGGTCTGGGCGCAAGTCCCTGTCCCCCTTTGTCCTGCAATGTAAAGCATTGCAGTTTTAGAGAGTTGTATTACATTGCAGTACTAAGACTGCCTCTAGTGACTGTCGAGCAAACAGCCTCTGGAGGAGTTTCATGGAGTCTGACATCTTTGTATTCTTCCCACTAAAGTATTCCTTTAAGTCACAGAACTCTACAGAACTGGTCATTGTAATGGGCATTTGTCTATAAAGATTGCAGGACAAATTGTTGCATTTTCAACACTTGTCCACAATGTGTGCAACTGAAATAAATACAATATAATTAACAAAAATAGACTAATAGGAATAAGTATGTAACATAAATCAATAGAATGGACTGGATTTCCTCTTTAAATTTTCTCATGCTGCATTCATTTGGGTACCCCTGGGTTAGATCAGGGTCAGTGGCAGGACAATGTGTGGGACGTTTAAATTGAAGCTGTGCGAGTGTATTCCTTTAGAATAAAAATATAAGGGCTTCTGTTTTCATTGCTGACAGCCTCTTAAAAAAGATCCTTCATAGTGACAGATATATTCATTTAAAATCTTAGTCCCACTTAGGATGCCGGGTTTTGAATATGTGTAGTAATAACATTTCCTTAATCTTTATCAGCTCAATCTTATAACTCATAATGTCAAATCCCCCAGCACTTTACAATCTTATAGAGACAGGGTGATGTATAAACATGTATGGAGGGTTCTGTTAAATATACATTTATCCACACTTTGTTAACTTTCTGTAACTGATCAGCCCGACACGTTCGATATGGAGCAGTAATAATATGTACTGTGTATTCAGGAATTCATTGAGAACATAATGTGATAAGGGAATTATCTAATCATCCTCCGATTTGCAAGATTAAGCATCATCACCAAGTACAAGTGGCAACTGGGGAGTGGGTACCCCAACACATACTCTATTCTCTAGGACCCGTACCCTAGGGTTTCAGGTCAGCGAACTGAAACTGCAGTTGTATTAACATCTGCCAACACCCCTCAAGAAAAAAAGTCTGAATGCAGTCAATGCAAGCTTACATTACATTATATTCTATATAAGCACACTATGGTGCATTTCACAAACATCCATTTCATTCAAGATATTTATGAAATCTGATGGTTTAACAGAGATGCATTAAGTTCTCTTAGAGCCCTAGGATACTTACCCCGTTTATTCTTGAAATAGGTATGGTGAATGTGGTTAGGTAAATTCATGATGTTTAACCCCTTGGGCCTAAGCAGCAGCCTAAGGTCACCTTACTGCACTGTGTCGGTTAGTGAGTTTTGATGCATGTAGCTTTAAAACATATATTTATAGGATTAATATACTTGTGATTAGTTGCAAGTCTCCTACCCCAACGCAAGCAATATCAAGCAACCACATGGTAGACTAGGAAGGGTTGCATTCTGCTTTTTGCTAGATCACAGGAACGCTCCAATATGTATAACAGAGATCATTTAGAGTTGGTCCTTGGTATTTTAATGTAGTATTATAGGTAAGGGCTTCTTGGTTTTCCCAGAAGCCTGCTGGTGGGAGGTAGATAGGGGACAGGGATTCCGGTTTTAGATCATTAATGTATCCATGAGAAGGTAGGAAAAGATGGCCCGAGAGGTCTATGTTTAGACAAACAAAGCCTTAGATCAGGTGAGGTTTAAAAACACACATAGATCTTCCACAGACTGTAATTGCAATTACAATTTCATTAGAATAAATTAATTATGAATTATCTAACAATTCTCAAAAAACAGAGAGGTTGCTACTTGTTTGTCTCCTTAGTTCTTGCCTTTCTTTCTGAGCCATGATCTTATTTGATTGTTATCTGGATTTCTTGGTAGACTTGGCAGCTATTTGTCTTTCTGCAGCTGGTCGTGTTATAGCATGAAAATGTCAGTTCTTTCATTCTAACACATAGATATTGAAAGATAAAGAAGGTAGTGTAATAAAACAGAAACGAGTGTGATCACATTAATAATTCACTTTATCACTTGGCACTACCACAAAATATAATTTTGACCTTACTAGCGGAAGCTACTCTTCGTGAATGTTTCTAGAACCTGAACCCCCAGTGACCAGTGACAAAGTGGTAAAATATTTTGATAAAAAACATTGAAGGTTGATAAATGCTGCATGAAAACATGAAAGCACATCAGGGAATGTAATACAAGTTCAGGTTTTAGGAAACAAACAACCAACGCAGGCAGCAAACAGTCAAGTCGAGGGTTGAACCAAGCAAGCTACAGTGGATAAACATGCTATGTGATGGGGAAATATTCTAGAACAAGTTAGCACAGAAAAATTACAAAAATAGGGTAATCCTCTGCCAAATACAGTGTTATCATAAATATCTATTCTGGAACATGCCTCAATGCAGGGCGACTGTCAGACAGTGAGTGTGCTCCTCACTCTACATTCCATACATGTTGTGTCTGAAGAAAAAGGTCCTCTCTGGGGTCACGTCACATGGCAAATCTGAAAAACATTACTGTACAATTAATGGCTCAAAACACAAACACGTTTTTAAGAAAATGTTTGTAGAATTGGAATAGGTTCCAGACTGGTAAACTCCACAGCCTCAACTGACCAAGATGCATTGGACCAGCTCTAATGTAAAAGGTGTAACATTCACCATTGGGTATTATTTATACTTTATAATACACCAAAGAACAACTGCTTTTAGAGAAAAACTTGGAAGGACAGGTTTGCCAACAGGCAGCAAATGCAAGGGAGCTTGACTCTTCAAGATCTACTCATTATTGGGTGCTCCCAGCTCTTATCCATATGCCATGTGAAACCTCCTACTATTGCTGAAATAAGCTATTGTATATGTTCCATATTTTAATTAATTAAGCTATTCCTGCAGGGAACTCACTTAATTCTCACATTAACATTAAGTCCCATTTAAGTGAGATAACTACTGAAATGGACAAGCAAACACAGTCTTGTTGGCTGTACAAGACATCCATAGCACAGTGGTGACCAATCCTACTACCCCAGATGTTTCAGAATTTCATCTCCCATGATGGTCAGAGAGTATTATGGTTGGCTGAGTATCATGGGAAATGAAGTTCAAATTTATTAAGCAATATGCTGATATGTAAGCTAGCTGCGTTTTTTCTTTACATAGAAATGTAAGCAACTCTTAATGCTACTAATTTATCTCCGTGCTCTGTATTTTTCTAGAAAGTCAATTTGTAAAGTAACAGTCATCGTTCGAACACACATCTCCATTAGACAGCGGAAACATGGCAGAGGAAGAGTTTCAGAATAAATCACCAAAGGGAAGCCAAAACGTTTAACCGTTTACGATACTCTTCTCTACTCTCCGTCACTAAACAGATCACATGTACAATTCTAAAAAAATAATATAAACATCTACTTAATAACTGATTTAAAAAATACTATGTAACATATCCACTTACATTTTGCTTCCATTATTGGCAACAGGAAACTATAAGGGAATTCCTCTGTATCCTAAATGTCTCTGCTTTCACGATCTTTGGTCTTACCAGTAATATTTTATTCAGATGCTTATAAATATGTTTCTAATAGCTAAAAAAAGAAAAAGAAAATAAAAAATAAAAAGAAAGGAAAAACTGCATCCTGAATAGACTAGAATATTTTTCTTCGAAGTGTTTTGGTTTTTGGAGAAATTCCAGCTTCTTCATCGTGACTCGGATAGAGGCAATACTTCTATTTACTTTTTATTGTTCTGTTAGCCGATATGTTCTACTTCTGAATGAAGATTTACGACTATTTTTCATTACTTTTTATGCTGATTACCTGATATAACAATTTATTATGCAGTTTTCCCGTATCTTCGAGTCATATTAACGAGAGAGTGCCAAATGTTGAATCTTTAACAAGATTCGACTTGCCTCTCTGTGCTAAGGTGTATCTTTTATTATTTTTTCTTTGTTTCATAATCCTTTGCTTTCTCCTTGTGTGAGGTTTAGACAGACCTTCTTTCTATAACATTAAGGTTTGTACTATATTATGGCCGTGGAATAGTTACTGTCACGCATCAGTGAATTTCTTTAGGCTATACACACCATTCATATAAACAGGAACTTTGCCTTCTATTCTGTGTACAAGACAGCTCTCTGATTATAAATGGGGGTATCCAGAACTCCAAGATGATATAGTAAATTAGTCATTGAGGATGAAAAAGATATAAATCCATCACATTTGACTTTTCACTAATCCCTATTCAGGGTTTGTTGATACACAAACAGGGTTGGCCAAGCTTTTTGCCAGAATGTCCTAATATTTTGTGTTACAGTGACATGATTTAATGTGAAACGCTAATAAGGGCAATATGTCATGTTTTATGATGAAAGATCCTGGAAAAAACATTCCTCAACTTCATGAAACTATTTAGTTGATGTGATGTCCATAGTCCACAGACTGTAAACACAGTTAGGGCTTATAGGAAAGATCCAGAAAAAGACGACTGTTTTAACTTTTGTGACGGAAGCTATTGTGCCACAGAATTTTGGAGAAGCCTGAAGGCCAGCCTCCTGCCCACAGACTAAGGGCCTGGTACCAAAAGCCCCTGACAGGGGTTATTGTCACTGTGGTGAGTAGTATGGGGGCCTGGATGCTTACTGTGCTTTCCAGTCGGACTTGAGGACCTCTGGGGATCACCAGGACTCGTTTTGAAACATCCTTGAACTGTTTTTCAGATTGGAACTGTGCCAAGATCCGATTGATCTTTAAGCAAGTTTCTCTCAGTCCCCCTGTTATGGTGGAAGAGGTCCTCAGAGACCCCAGTCAAGCTTTGGTGACTGAGTATGAAGTGCTCCAGAGTCCCCTGGTAGTAGTAAGGAAGCTGACCTGGCAGAGGTATTCTGTCAGTGTATGGGAGCTACATCACAAGGGTGTTTCCCAGTACCAGCACAACGTTTTAAATATACAATCCATAAAGTAAAGTTTTGTGTATATAACTCCCCCTCCCCCTTTCTTCTGGGTTCAATCTTTTAAAACAAGAACAATGTCTTTATGTCCTATGAGTGGAATTAGGGATAAAGATGCAAAAGATGGGAGTGGCAGGGCCTGACTGCCATGTTAAAAGGTTGCACAGTGCTTGGGCTCAGTGCATAATCTTTTATATGACCCTCTTTGTGGACTCCTGGCTTGCAATTTTCAAGACAGATGCCGCCAAAGGTTCCTTATTGCCATTGGGAGCAGCACTGCCAAGCAGCACTTCCCTCCTGTTTAGTTGCGGTGACACATGCAGTGGACAACCCGGTGGTCTACATGCAGCCTACCTGGTAGTGGAGGAATTGGAAGGTGGCCGATCTCTTTGTCTTTGTACTACTGGAAAGCAGAATCTCTTAAGCTTCATCATCCCCTCCCCCACCAGTGAGGGTTATTCTGGCACCCATCTGCCTTGGGCCTTGCTGTGGCTTTACTGGGGGCACAATAGGATGAGCTGTTCCACCTAAGATGGCTGATGCCTCATGTCAACCAGATCCGCAGCTGCCTATCCCGTCCAAGCTTGATAGTCTCTTTGAAGCTTTATGGGCCATGCTGGCCAGCAGATTGCTAAGCCCCACAAGCAATTAGCTACCTGTAGACCTACCTCAGCGGCTTAATGAAGATTGTGTTTTCCTGGAATAAGTGTTTCCCAACCCTGAAGAGGGCCTGACATTGCATTAAAGGCCTGAGCACTCTACTGCTGACACCTCTACTCAGCTGACACTGACTCATCAGAGCAAGCAATCTCATTGGCAGCACTGGTAGAATCTCAGCACAAGCACCCATGGAGTGCCTTCTCAGAGCATGCTCTAACATGTGAGAATAACTCAGTCTGAGCAGCTAGAAGGCTTACCAGATCAAGGGCCTGAAGATCCTCTGCTTCCATTTGCTTTAGGAGACCCGAGCTGAACGCAACAGGGGGCAGGAGGGCACCTTTTAGGATACTATAAAGCAATCTTGTGGGGTCTCTCTATACATGATTCACCCTACTTCTCGATGAGTCCCAATGGCCTTACATTAATGCAATGTCCTCTACTAATCTATTTTGCATGCTCCTATCCTCTCGCAGTACCCAATAATGATTGCTGTAATCTCATGCACAAGCCTGGCTTTTTTTTAACTGTCCAGCCCAGTTAAATTATCAGATACCACACCGCCTGTTACTGCCACTCCTGCATTTATTACTGCCAGTATTCCTGTTTTGAAGAGTTATCAGTGCATGCATATTTTTCTCTCTTGTGTTAACTCTGTTTTAGTTTTCAGATCTTAAAATTGTGCAACTCATCTTGACATGTCTAGTTTTAATTACATGTTTATCTACACAGCTAATGCTTATGTTATATGTCATTACAAACCTATGTATATGCCACTGCACTTCAAAAATAAAGGATGTTACAATGCACAAGGTGGGATAATATACAAAAAGTGGTAAGAGACATAAAATGGGGGTAACAGAAACAAATGGAGAGTTAGAGATCCAAAAGGGAGAGAACTAAGACAGAAAAGGAAAAAAAGAGACCTCAAAAGAGGGAGGAGAGACAAAAGAGCAAGAAAAAAAGGGGGGAGAGGGGCTATGGGAGGTAAGATACATAGAAGATAAAGGGGTAACAGACACAAAAGGGGGGTTAAAAGACTCAAGGTCGTAAAGTTAGGTTTAGAGACAAACAAGGGGATTTAG